GTGTGCGACTCAGAAGAGACGTGCAACACAGGCGGGGCGGTTGGGTCGATGGTATCACAATCACATCTGTTCGCATACGAAGTAATAAATCTGGATCTACTATGTTGTAGAATGGTGCCATCGATATTGCTGCTGTACTTCATGCATCCCGTGCTAGTGGTTGATGACATACCCACAGTTTTCAAAGTAGCCCACGTTTCAGCGTGATACGGAATATTTCAACGAGTTGAGTGCGTGTTGTGTACTGTTGTTCGTTCTTCTAAATGTTTGTAACTGATCCATCGTGTCGACAGTAATTGCTTTACATGATGCTAAGAGTGAGATTAATCCAGCACGTCAAACGTAAATATGATGTAAGCCGCGTCCCGCTTGGATCCGATAAAAGCGAGTTTGAAATTATTCTTGCTCGCATAGATTAGTTCAAATGACAAAAATAGCCCAAATCATCGCTACTTTGATACATTGCATGATCACTGACTTCACAATTAAATACAAAGAAAATACACGTGGCGACTTCTCTCATATCCGCAATCGCGACGACGATGACTTAGGCGATATATTCTTATCGGTTGGAGCTGCTTCGTATACTTTTACAGAGTGTAGGGTTTAGTTCGTATACTTTTATAGATTGTAGAGTTTGGAGTACGATCTCATACAGATACTACCTTCTGATATTTTGTGCCAAGCGCACTCCAATGAATGTAACTAGCTTAAATAATGACAATGTAAACGGCACAGCAGCATACTGGAACATATAATATGAGCAGATATATGCCTGTATGTGCGTGCCATTGAGTGCAGCATACTGATGCGTTTGTATTGGATCCACACGTATATGAATCGTTTCGCAGTTACGCGATACTGTCATTTTGCTTTATCCGAGACCACTTCGACTGCTTCATCAATACCAATTGTTCGTTTATTGACTATTTACCACTATCCCTTGTTTATACTCATCGCGCATTTCGGGACGCCTACCCCTGCCAATATATATATATACATATATATGCATACATATATATATATATAATGGAAAAAGTACAGAAGCTTGGCAGCACACACATATATATACAGAAGATTATACACGCAGAGACGTACGTTGCGCTCGCCATATATCGACCACATACTACCTAATGCTTCAGAAGGCCTTTCCGCTGCCCATGGGCGCATTTGTGTGCTCTTCGTACTTAGAGACACAACTATGCGACATATCTTCGCAGTACCACACCGCCTGTGCGGTGTAGTGCCCCGGGCCCTATTACATTGAGGCCAGGTCAGAGCTAGTCGTGGGTGGTCAACCAGCCAACTAGATCCATGGCACACTACCGGCATTTAGAACTCAACCACCATCTTGTCTTCTACCTCGGTATGCGCAATTACCTGTTAAATAAGCACACACAGAGAGAGAGAGAGAGAGGAGGGAGAGAGAGAGATAGAGAGTGAGTGGGAAACGATCGTATTCGAGCATTCGTGATTTAGGGGTAAGTGATATTCCATCGCGCAAGTGTTTATGTACAACAGCGTGGCCAACACAATCATAGCCTCCTCCAATTTGCATCCTCCAATTTGCATCCTCATCTCCTACGTGGTGTGGCAAGGCCCTTATATAAGTGCACGCATCTTACAGAGGAGAATTTAGGGCTCAGGGTGATCAAGCCCAGAGCTGGGCCAAAGTGCTCGTGAAGGTTCTCTGACATTTTGAGTGTCAACATCAAAGGGTTTGTCGCTGACAACCAAGAACGACAACTGAAGGGGAGTGTGACAGGTCATAAGACCTCCACACCACACTTGCCACACAAACCTTGATACGCACACACACACACACATATATATATAATAATATAATAATATAATAATATATAAATATAATGAAAATATAATATCAATAAAAATAAAAATATATACTGAATAGAAAGACCACGAGACATACCTGGCAGAACTCCTCGAAGGATATCTTGCCATCTCCGTTCTGATCCGAGTACATGATAGTCTTGTCCACAATCTGCTGCAGTTGCGTGTCCTGCAAATTGCTGCCCACCATCATCTTCAATACCTGCATGGTGAGATGTCGTATTGCCGTACGATGCATGGTGAGATGTCGTATTGTCCGGAAGGTTGTGACCCTTGTGTGAGTTGGGTGTGCATGTTTGGTAGAAGTATATAGTACTATACACTGGATTGATACGTATTCCCATACACTCGATAGCTGGGCCTGTGACGGTGTTGTCCCTTTCCAGTCTATTCCGAGCACTGCGCTGTGGTGTTGAGCGGTGCATTGCAAAGGATCACCAAAGTAACAAACGCCTTCACCCGGTAGTGCCTGTGACGCATGACTACGATACGGAACTCAAAACAGATCGCAAGCATGTAACGAGACGAGAGAAGGACAAGAGAATAGTTGTGGTCCTACCATGCCACTTATTAGAGACGCCATCTGAAAGGGCAAAACCAAGCACGGCCCAGAGCGCATAACCAAACACAGCCCACAGGGCAAAACCAAACACCCCCCTAAGAATTTTTAGAGCACATAACATTGGCATCCAAAACCCGCACAATTTTCCATGGCACAGATCGCTAACATTCGACATACAGCGTAAAGTTCTCCATTGGAGATGAACCCGTCGCCATCCATGTCGTAGATCTTGAAGGCGACTGCGCAATGGAGAGACACACGGCACACCACGGTTAAAGCAAGGGAAGGTATGTGTGGGCAAGAGAAAAATGTACAGACACGGATGATGATGGTCATGTCCACTATAGCGACGGGGACGTGGTCACTCACACCGTGTCAAGGTGGCTGTATCAACGTACAGCCTACTACAATATATATCAAACCAACTCCACTTTCTGGAAACGACGAATACCAACACAGTTGTACCCATATACCAAATACGCTCCAATTTCACGCACTGATCTGCTATACATGTAGTGTATGTGCATGTGTATGTATATATATACGTATATATATATCCAATAGACTAGAAAATAGTTACGTGACATTGACGTGGCATTCGCACTCACATTGTAGCTTCGACTCCTTGCTGCCTCGGATGAAGATACTCAGCGCCATAATGAACTCCTGGAAATCCACGTCACCATCGTTGTCTGTGTCCATAGTGGCGATGATTCGTTCTACCAGAGGGTTGTTGGCAAGCTCAGGAAGGTCCCTGTATGTAGGTATACAGAGTAAAAAATATAAATAGACACCCTGGATGTAGGTAGAACGAGTACAGGATATACATAGACACCCTGGATGTAGCTATATCGAGTACAGGATATAGATAGACACCCTGGATGTAGGTATATCGAGTACAGGATATAAATGGACACCCTGGATGTAGGTATATCGAGTACAGGATATAAATAGACACCCTGAATGTAGGTATATCGAGTACAGGATATAAATAGACACCCTGAATGTAGGTATATCGAGTACAGGATATAGATAGACACCCTGGATGTAGCTATATCGAGTACAGGATATAGATAGACGCCCTGCATGTAGCTATATCGAGTACAGGATATAGATAGA